TTCAGTAAGGAAAATTGATTTGATATACTGTATGAGCAAATTGAGTTACGAGCTCGGACACGGAATGAATTAAACTCGTAAATCAAGGAACCACTGTATTTTAGCTCAGATGTGGTCAATTATGTATGCACTCATCTCGGTAGTTCTTTTGGGCTTAGTTATAGATAATATAAGAAAGGAATTATTCATGCTGTTAAGGAAGCCAGCTACTTGAAGGGCCTCGGCTTGAACAAGGTTAATGTTGAAATCACCAGCAAGTATTAGGAGATGAACATTCAAGTGCTTATTAGTCATTAGGTTCTTTGGGTTGTTATTAAAGATTGGAGATGCAGTGGACCCTCGGTTATTGGCTGTAATCCGTTCCAGAAGCTCAGCCTAAAACCGAAAATGGCCAAAAAATGAAATAATATTTCCAATAAGAATTAATGTAAATACAATTAATCTGTTCCAGACAAAGATATTCACAAAAAAATATTTTTTTTAACAAATTAGTAGTACATAACTTTATTGAAGACTAATGCTGGCTTCTGGAATGCCTGCTACACTTCCTGCATGCCTGCTACACTTCCTGCATGCCTGCTACACTTCCTGCATGCCTACTACACTTCCTGCATGCCTGCTACACTTCCTGCATGCCTGCTACACGTCCTGCATGCCTGCTACACTTCCTGCATGCCTACTACACTTCCTGCATGCCTGCTACACTTCCTGCATGCCTGCTACACTTCCTGCATGCCTACTACACTTCCTGCATACCTGCTACACTTCCTGCATGCCTGCTACACGTCCTGCATGCCTGCTACACTTCCATGCCTTACATTCCTGCATACACTTTCTGCATGCCTGCTACACTCCCTGCATGCCTGTTACACTCCCTACATGTCTTCTACACTCCCTGCATGCCTGCTACACTTCCTGCATGCCTGCTACACTTCCTGCATGCCTGCTACACTTCCTGCATGCCTACTACACTTCCTGCATACCTGCTACACTTCCTGCATGCCTGCTACACGTCCTGCATGCCTGCTACACTTCCTGCATGCCTGCTACACTTTCTGCATGCCTGCTACACTCCCTGCATGCCTATTACACTCCCTACATGTCTTCTACACTCCCTGCATGCCTGCTACACACCCTGCATGCCTGCTACACTTCCTGCATGCCTGCTACACTTCCTGCATGCCTGTTACACTCCTTGCATGCCTGCTACACTCCCTGCATGCCTGTTACACTCCTTGCATGCCTGCTACACTTCCTGCATGCCTGCTACACTTCCTGCATGCCTGTAACATTATCTGCATGCCTGCTACACTTCCTGCATGCCTGCTACACTTCCTGCATGCCTGTAACATTATCTGCATGCCTGCTACACTCCCTGCATGTCTTCTACACTCCCTACATGCCTGCTACACTCCCTGCATGCCTGCTACACTTCCTGCATGCCTGCTACACTCCCTGCATGCCTGTTACACTCCTTGCATGCCTGCTACACTCCCTACATGCCTGCTACACACCCTGCATGCCTGCTACACTCCCTGCATGCCTGCTACACTTCCTGCATGCCTGCTACACTCCCTGCATGCCTGTTACACTCCTTGCATGCCTGCTGCACTCCCTGCATGCCTGCTGCACTTTATGCTTAAATTTCATGTTTCTCACTTTCTTTGGAGCCAGGGTTACTTATTTCGCAGTTGCACTGCAAAAAACCCACAAAAAACAATGGAAAACAAGCAAAATGTTTGGATGTATTAGCAGAAGCTTCCTCTCACACCGAGAGAGACAACCAAACTGACACACAAGTGGTCCCAGCAGGCGGACGGACGTGTCCGAAATGGCCGATCACTGGGAGCCGAAAAACCGGCCAGTCACAGAGTTGGCTGATAACAGGAACGGCCGATAACTGATGGTCCACTGTATAAGGATGACTCATAAAATTGTAATGACACGACTGCAAACAAACAGTCCCATGGGTGGGGATTGAACTCGTAGCGAGTGAGTTGTAAAACTCCAGGCCAGCGCGTAAGCCACTGGGCCAGCTGGCTGACCTCTCTATGGAGTATAAATATACCTAGTTGGATGTAGCCAGCTGGCCCAGTGGCTTACATGGTGGCCTGGAGCTTTCCGACTCACTCGCCACAAGTTCAATACCCATCTGTGGTATGGTTTAACATTAGTATGAGGTAGCCTGTAGACTGCTCTAACTGTAATAAGGATCTTCATATTTTTGGTTGCAAAGTTAGCAAATATATATTTACCATGTCTGTTACTTAAACATTTATTTTTTTTTATTAACACATCAGCCATCTCCCATCAAGGGTGGGTGACCTGAAAAAGAAAAACGTTCACCATCTCTCACTCCATCACTGTCTTGCCAGAGGCATGCTTACACTAGTTATAAAACTGCCACATTAACACCTCTCCTTCAGAGTGCAGACACTGTACAGGTCTCCCTCAACATTCGCAAGGGTTAGGGGATCAAGAGCCTTGCGAATGTTGAAAAAACATGAATGTTTGGTCCCCCAATATATTGTAGGGAAATATATTACAATACTGCTTCCTTAACTTGTTGAACCATGAACAATCATAAAATACATGAAAATGTCGTAAATTGTACTAAATATACATGTATACATGTTATGCTTTAATAATGTATGTTATTTAATAACATGTATGTTAATAACATGTATGTTATTAAATACCACAGACTCCACCAATGCCTCCACTTCTGCGAGACCCTACTACCCTCCCTCCGATCCCCGCAACTGGCAGCCAGCCCTCCCACCACTCAGTGTGGTGAGTGTTTTGTTTGTTCATTATTTGCTATTAAACTACAGAATAAATAATGTAAACCCATTCATGACTGCATATTGGAATGGCTATTAGGAAAGGTATTAGACGGTGACATCATGTGTTTACTCTTGAACACAGCAAAGAATCGAACATTTCTGCTATTGCTAATAATAACAATAGTAATAATAATAATAATAATAATAATAATAATAATAATAATAATAATAATAATAAATACGATATAATTGAAGAAGGAAATTGTACAAAAATACGAGGGAGTGGTTGACACATCGTCAGTGTGACTATGTTTATGCTGGAGTGAACATTAGTCTCCCTGCTCTTCCAAACATTTCACAATAATTTAGCAGTTGAAGCAGTGGTATTTAATAACATATATGTTATAAATAATAATAGTACATGTTATTATTAATAACATGTATTATTATTAACATGTATGTATTTAATAACATGTTATAAATAATAATGGTACATATTATTAATAACATGTATTATTATTAACATGTATGTTATTAAATACCATTGCCTCAATCACTGCCTCTACCACCCAGTCACACTCAATCTACAAGCACCAAACACAATGAATTATTGTGAAATGTTTGGAAGAGCAGGGAGACTAATGTTCACTCCAGCATAAACAAAGTCACACTGACGATGTGTCAACCACTCCCTCGTATTTTTGTACAATTTCCTTCTTCAATTATATCATGTTTTATTATTATTATTATTATTATTTTATTATTATTATTATTATTATTATTATTTATATTATTACATTTTATATAGCTGTAGCAGAAATGTTTAATTCTTTGCAGTGTTCAAGAGTAAACACATGATGTCACCGTCTAATACCTGTCCGAATAGCCATTCCAATATGCAGTCATGAATGGGTTTACATTATTTATACTGTAGTTTAATAGCAAATAATGAACAAACAAAACACTCACCACACTGAGTGGTGGGAGGGCTGGCTGCCAGTTGCGGGGATCAGAGGGAGGGTAGTAGGGACTCGCACGTGGCGGGAAACTTAAATATGATTTGGCGGCTGGGAATTTGGTGGCTGGGAATTTGGCGGTTGGGAATTTGCGAATGTGTGAAACCCGTGAAAGTTGAAAACGTGAATGTTGAGGGAGACCTGTACTTCTCATCTCCAGGACTCAAGTCTGGCCTGCTGATTTCCCTGAATCCCTTCATAAATGTTATCTTGCTCACACTCCAATGAGACATCAAGTCCTAAAAACCATTTGCCTCCATTCACTCCTGTCTAACATTTAGTTACTGCAACATTTAGTTACTGCTTATTAGTTTAGTAAAGTAGTAGATGGCAGTCCCTTCCCCCAGTTTGATCAGGCCTGCAGTTATGATTGACTGTGTACCCAGGAAAATAAAGATATCTATTGTGTTATATTTAAGCCAGGTTTCAGTTAGAATAATAAGAGGGATGTTATCATTTAACGAATCTAGGATCACTAGGAGGTCATCATAATGCTTACTTGAGATCTTATATTGTTATGTTCTTTGTGTTGCTGAGAACAGCTTTTGATTGACTTGCTGTGTAGTAAAGTACAGTTATTTTCAGAGGAGTACTGATTACCATTTTGATATGATAGGAGATTTAAATTGGGGTCAGTATTAGCATTCATGAACTATGAGTTGGTATTAGGAAAGTGAAGGATGCAGAAGGGGTATCACTATTTAAACACTGGTGATATTAGCAGTGGAGTGAGAAAAGAGTAATGTAATCAGCCGGTTTGACTACTGTTAACGATAAAATAAGTTATGAAAATAGGAACAATATACAGAGTGCAAGTCTGTCATTAAGTTCTAAGAAGGAAGATCACCACTCATCTAGATACCCATCAGTTACACAACCCAGGGCAACATGGGTTTAGAGCAGGTGGCTTCTGTCTGTCCCAACTATTGGACCATTATGACAAGGTCCTGGATGCTCTAGAAGACAGACAAAACACATATGTAATATACAACTCAAAATTAGGTAGAAAATCAGCTATACGAATATAAACAATGCATGATAAATGCAAGGTAAAACTACGTTGTGAAATAATAAATAGAATATAAAAACAAAGAATTAATCTATAACAAAGTATATAAACAAAAGAATTTATCAATAATAAAGTGTGGGAATGTTACAGAAGCTTAAAAATTAATGCAGTTTATTTATATATTTACAGATCCATCAGATTTTACCTATAATGGACAAGCAGAAGGCCAAAATATTATTTGATCTCCTTCGATCAAGCAACAGTGAAAAAGTGGTCCGAGGATTGCGAGAGATCAAGAAAAGGTTGCTGACAAATATTGAAAATCTTGTGATTTTTCGGTAAGAAATTATCTCGTACGGTATACAGTAGGGCCCTACTTTATGGCATTTCACCTTACAGCATTTGTTAACATGGACATTTCAAATTGTGACAAAAACTCTTTATACGGCTCCCCCACCTGACTTTCTAATACAGTCACCACTGGCCACTTGGTTTGTTTACATTCTCTGTGAGCACAACTCTCCATTATGTCTGGAAACTTTCCAAAATTTCGAGTATTTTAAAGTTATTTCATATTTTATATGTACAGTACTCATAATTATACACATGTGTACCTGTACCTAAATAAACTTACACATTGTGTGGCATGCAGGTACACATTAACCCCTTGACTGTCATAACCCCAAATCCTGAGGTGTCTCCTTGTGCCGCAAAATTTCAAATAAATATTTTTTTTCTTATGAAATGATAGAGAATCTTTTTCCGATTGTAATGACACCAAAAGAACGAAATTTGGTGAAAAACTGACAGAATTACGCTCTCGCGAATTTAGCGACCTCGGCAGTATTTACGAATTGGCGATTTCGCTCACTTTGAGCCCTATTTTCGGCTCATTCCATTGTCCCAGTCGACCATGCTCATAGCTATTTCTTTAGAGCTCCATTTTTTTCTATCGATTGAGTACAAGAAGCTGCCCATTTACCGATTTTAACTACCCAATTACGTGGTCAGAAATTCGCAATTTGGCCAATTTCACGAAAATTAACCCTTTCAGGGTTTCCGACGTACTAGTACGGCTTACTCACCAAGGTTATTGATGTACTAGTATGCCTAAATTCTAGCGCCTTCAAATCTAGTGGGAGAAAGCTGGTAGGCCTACAGATGAAAGAATGGGTCTATGTGGTCAGTGTGCACAGTATAAAAAAAATCCTGCAGCACACGGTGCATAATGAGAAAAAAAAACTCCAACCGTGTTTTTTGGTTTAAAACAGCAACTTTGCACTGTATTTTCGTATGGAATTTATGGTTGTATTCTAGTTTTCCTGGTTTCATTTTACGTATAGATGGGAAGACATATTACAGAAATTGAGATGATTATGATGGATTTCACAGTGAAAAGAACCTTGAAATTGAGCTCAAATTAGCAGAAATGTTCGATTTTTACCAAAGTTCAAAAGTAAACAAATCATGCCAAACGTCCAATACACGTCAACTGGTGAGTCTAATATTCTTTCACAAGTGTGTTGATATTATTTATACCATTTCTACACTAATGCAGTAGTCTGCATAACAGTAAATCTATTTTTTTGTGACTAACGAATAGAGAACTTGTTATTTTAGTGCCAGGAATGTCTGTCTTGTTTATTCTGGACCCTATTTGGAAATTGGCATCTTGTGAAACTGGCAAAATTGCCAAATTCTGACCACTTTATTGGATAGTTGAAATTGGTAAATGGGTGGTTTCTTGTACTCATTCTATAGAAAAAATGGAGTTCTAGCAAAATAAATATGATTTTTGTCGACTAGTACACAGGAATTGGCCAAAAATAGGGCCGATGTTTACGTATCAGCAAAATTGCCAATGCGTAAACATCGTCGAGACCGCTAACTTCACGAGAGCATAATTCCGTAAGTTTTCCATCAAATTTCATACTTTTGGTGTCATTGTGATCGGGAAAAGATTCTCTATCATTTCATAAGGAAAAATAATTTTTTTTTTCCGAAAAATTTTCGACCCTGAGAACAAGTTTAGGAGACGGCCTCTCGACCCTGAAAGGGTTAAGCCTGCCCAAAATACTCTGCATACAAGGGGCTTTTGGCATGTACACCCAACTATAATTCCTTGTACAACTATGTATCATGTCCAAATAAAGTATTGTATTGTATGATATTTAAGCATCCAAAAGTGATAAAATGCATATACAGTTCACTCATTACTCACCTTAAAATATTTGTAGTCTTAATCTAGGGTGAAATGATTAGTATTTATTGTAAGAAATCAAGTGTGGTATGTATGGTGGCCAGCCAGGCTACCATACCAGGCCATTCCACCCACACAATATTCTATGACATTTAACCCTTTCAAGGTCCAAGGCCAAAATCGGAAGGGGTGCCCCAGTGTCCAAGAAATTTTGAAAAAAAAAAAAAAAAAAAAATTCTTACAGAATTAAAGAGTATGTTTTTGTGAAGGTAATAAAACAAAACAAAAAATTCTGATCAGTACTTACTGAGATACAGTGGCGGGAAGTTGACCCAAAATAACCGGGTGGCGGCAACATCGATGAGTTCTACAAACTTTCATTTCTTTATTTTACGTTTTTTATACTTTTTTCTATTCTTTTCTAATTTATTTCTTTTCCTGCTAACATTTGGGGCCTAAGAGACCAATACTGTATACAGTGGACCCTCGACCAACGATGGCATCGTATAACGTTAAATCCGACTAGCGATACATTTTAACGCCAAAATTTTTCCTCGACTAGCGCTAAAAAACTCGACCAATGCGATTCGTTCCGTTCGACACGCATCCACGTGTCGCCTGAGCGCGCCTCACTTGTCCCATGGGTGCCAGTGTTTGCAAGCCAACCAGCCACCGCTGTCGCATCCAAACATTCAATCGGAACATTTCATATTATCACAGCGTTTTTAGTGATTGCACCTGCAAAATAAGTCACCATGGGCTCCAAGAAAGCTTCTAGTGCTAACCCTGTGATAAAAAGGGTGAGAATTAGTATGGAAATTAAGAAAGATTTTGAAGGGTTTGGGGCTAACCCTGAGACGCCTATGCCAGTTGTGGAATCCATTGTGCCCACTTCAAAGATTAAGGAAATGTGTGCAAAGTGGGTTGAACTGCAAACCTTTATGGATGAAAATCACCCTAACACAGCTATTGCAAGCCGTGCTGGTGACTATTACAATGACAATGTTATGGCCCATTTTAGACAAATCTTAAAGGAACGGGAGGTACAGAGCTCTATGGACAGATTTGTTGTGTGACAAGAGGTCCAGTGACTCTCAAGCTGGTCCTAGTGGCATTAAAAGAAGAAGGGAAGTAACTCCGGAAAAGGACTTGCTACCTCAAGTCCTAATGGAAGGGGATTCCCCTTCTAAACACTAACACCTCTCCCCTCCTCCCATCCCATCAATCATCACCAGATCTTCATTAAAGGTAAGTGTCAATTATTCTATTGTTATTATTCTATTGTTATTATTCTATTCTGGTTTTACAATGAAAAGTACCTTGAAATTTAGCTCAGAGTAGCAGAAATGTTCGATTTTTACCAAAGTTCAAAAGTAAACAAATCATGCTAAGCGTCCAATACACATCAACTGGTGAGTCTATTATTCTTTCACAAGTGCGCTGTTATTTTTTACCATTTCTACACTAATGCAGTAGTCTGCTTAACCCACAAATGGTCCAAGCAGATCTACGTTCACGTGTAGTGCTACAAAAGTAGATCTAAGTTTTTTTTACATATTTTCAAATATAACAAAAAAAAAAAAAAGTAGATCAAAGTTTTTTACGCATTTTCAAATGTAGAAAAACAAAAAGATCTACTTTTTTTACATACTTTCAAATGTTGAAAAAATGTATATATACATTTGGACCGTTTACGGGTTAACAGTAAATCTTGTATTTTTTATGAGAATAAAAATGGAAAGCAAAAGAATGTAAGAGGGGCATGGGGACTTGACTAATGAACAGTGGAAATGTTATTTTAGTGCCAGGAATGTCTTTCTTGTTTATTCTGGACCCTATTTGGAAATTGGCATCTTCTGAAATTTGTGTGAAATTGGCAAAATTGCTAAATTCTGACCACTGTATTGGATAGTTGAAATCGGTAAATGGGTGGTTCCTTGTACTCATTCGATAGAAAAGATGGAGTTCTAGCGAAATAGTTACGATTTTTGTCGACTAGTACACTGGAATTGGCCGAAAATAGGGCTCAAAGTGGGCAAAATCGCCGATGTGTAAACATCATCAAGTCCGCTAACTTCGTGAGAGCATAATTCCGTAAGTTTTCCATCAAATTTCATACTTTTGGTGTTGTTTGATCGGGAAAAGATTATCTTTTCATAAGAAAAAATAATTTTTTTTTTTTTTTTTGAAATTTGAGGGACCCTGAGAACAAGTCTCTGAGAGGGCCTGTGGACCCTGAAAGGGTTAACCCTTTCAGGGTCCAGAGGCCAAATTTCAAAGTGTGTACCAGGGTCCAAGAATTTTCAAAAAATAATTTTTTATTTTTTCTTATGAAATGGTTGAGAATCCTTTTCTGAAGGTAATAAAACAAAAAGTATGAAATTTGATGGAAAATTGATGAAATTATGCTCTCGCGAATTTTGATGTGTCGGCGATATTTACGTATCGGCGATTTTGCTTGCTTTGACCCCCATTTTAGGCCAATTACAGCATTCCGGTCAACCAAATTTTTAGGTATTTCACTAGTATTACTTCTATTCTATCGATTGAGTACAAGAAATCGCCAAGTCAGCTGTTTCAACAATAAAATCAAGTGACCGGAAATTTGTAATTTGGCCAATTTAATGCAAAGTTCAAAATATTCCAATTTCAAAATAGGGTCCAGAATAAACAATGCAGTCATTCCTGGCACTAAACTAACATTTCCTCTGTTCATTAGTTACGTTTTCAGGCTTTACAAATGAATTCCGTTTTGATTTTTTATTCACGTAATGAATTTTTATTCAAACCAAAAAATAGACGATTTACTGTTATGCAATACTGTAATAATTGTATAAATAATATCACCACATTTGTGAATGCATATTAGACCCATCAGCTGGCGTGTATTAGATGTGTGGGATCATTTGTTTACTCTTGAACATCGGCAAAAATTTAACATTTCTGTTACTTTTAGCTCCGTTTCAAGCCATCTCTATTCCTGTAGTATATCTTCCACTCTATCAAATGAGACCAAGAAATTGCAAATACAACTATAAAAAACATATTAAAAAAACACTGCAAAGTCGCTGTTTTAATCGAAAATTTCGGTCTGTGTGCTGCAGGATTTGTTTTATGTGGTGCACATATACCACATAG